GTTTGTTTTGCATTTGCGCAAGGAATTTTGTATTTTGGTATTTCACCTGGTGTATCAAGAAAGCAAACTCACCTGACTGAAGGACCTAAAAAAGGAATTCAATTCATTCTGAACAATTTGGATTCCATGAAAATGATTAATATATATATTGCAAATGATTCTCTGTGCTTGCATGTCTCTAACTCATAGAGTTCTTTAAGGAGTATGCGTTAGATTACCTTCCACAGCATAAGGAATGGCCATTTCTACCCCCCATGTGATTTGAAATAGTCTCCTGAGATAATATGAAGCATGAATAATGCCCCTTAAGTAAGGTATAACCGTTCAATGTCTGGGTAGGTTTGGGAACACCAGCCCATCTCTGTCCCCTATACCTGGTGTGGTAGACTTTATTTTCCTTGCATGCGTTAGCATTTTGATAAGTGTTTTGATATCGCTATGCATGCTCATGGGTGTGTGACATCTAACTATATAGTGTCCTGTTTCTGTTTCCCTTCATTAAAGCTGGTATTCCTCCACCTGATGTAGGTGCAGGCAAAGGTAAAACAATTCACTTGCATGACTTTATACATGTGTGAAATTTGCGATGTTAACCCTGGGGAAGTGCAGCATGGGTGAAAAGGGGAGGCTGAAATGTGCTTTGAAATACTGAAGGGAAATAATCAAACGAGAAGATCTTGGCAGAGCCGGGGCTCTAAACTAAATCTGTAGCCTTCTTTAACAATCGCAAGCTACCCAAGAACCCTCCGAAACACTGTCCCTGGTGTAAATCTTCACCTTCTCCCAAACCAACTCACTGCCATCGGGCCAATGACAACTTAAACTATGTGTTCTATGCGTATTTATGGCATGAGAGAATGAGGTTGGCTGCATCAGATAGGACGACAGAGTGGATTCGTCACAGGACTTCTAGAGAAATATGCCACGGAAGACCAGTTGCAGGAGAGTCAGTTCCAACCCTTGATGCCACTCTGTGTGTCAGAGTAGACACATGCCCCACACAGTTGTCCGTGGCTGCTTGTGCAGATGTGAATTGCCAGAGCTGGCTTCTGAGATGGACCTGAACCATCCGGTTTAGGTTAGCCACCATGTGCACCACCCATTCACTCCCAGGAGAAAACAGCTGGTGAGAAATCTGATCGACAGCTTTCATTCTAATCAGAATTAGCTGCACCCTACAGAGACACAATGTCCACTCGGCTGCACCACACCACACGGTCCATTTGGAAATGCAGTGTAGCAACACCCTATAAGTGGCCTGGAACAAAGATTCTCCCCACCGGGAGCCCTTCTGAGCAAGTCTCCCCGTCAGTCTGCATGCCCTGCTCAATTGTGTGATTCCATCCTGTCTTCACCGCTTTGTGGGAAACACTGGGGAATAACTCATAACCCACAGTTCGTTGCCTTTGTCCCGCCTTATTTCTGAGTGAGAAAGATTTGTTGGGCGAATGGTGCTTGGATAATTTGTAATGTGTCTTCTACCTGTGGCACTCCTGGAGCACCCACAATCTGTGACCCTTGGCTCTTGATTGGGAGGACATCTCTGGGACAGCAGGATAGCCCCACCACAGAGCGCTAGTTCCATGGGGCGCACAGGCAGCCCGTGGGTTACAAAGGTTCGAGTTACGTTAGAAACCGGAGGGATGAACCGAGCCACACAAAGCTTATTATATTAAAATACTTAAAGTTCATAAAATCAGAATGTTACAATAACAAAACAGATGCTACTTTTTTAACACATCAAGATATCATATTATAATTGCTGTCTCATTATGTTTATCTGGAAATTTCTTGACCATTTGTATGCATGGAAAGATATACTATGTATTAAGCTAAACTTTTGACTAACTGACAAACCTTATCAGACTCTTCCGAGTATGTACAGATTAGACTTAAAGACAGATTTGGAAATGAAGCTTCTTTGTAACCCAAGGACTGCCTGGACCTGTGGTCAGGGTCTTCTTGGCTCTGATGGACTAAAGGAAATGAACAGAAATGAAAGGGAAAAAAAGTTAAAATAGAGAAGGCAAGAGAAATAACTGCTTTGTCCTAAATTATTCAAATCTTGTGAGCTTA